TATTTCTGATTATATAGAATTTTTTAACTATGTCTCGGTTCAAAAATCTAATGAAGTTAAATTCTTTCTATATCGAATAGTTTCACTACTTATTATATTGAGATTTTTTTAAAAACAAACGATATAATATACACTAAAGGGAATGGGATATTGAGACTTTTAATATAAAACTTATTAAACAAATGATTTAGTCATAAACAATATCAATTCTGAAACTGTCTCTAAAGTTTAACAATAATCTCTCAACTTACATGCTTATTAGTGTAACTTAATAGCTGGACAAGTACATGGCCGACTCTCATATTTTAGGGGCCTTTTGCACAAGGTAGTAAATGGGCGCTTGTACAAAACTCTTGCTACACATCTAATTTATTTGTCTATAATTGTATTAATAAAGGATCTACATAGAGTATTATTACTTGAGTTATAGCTCAAATAAAAAAAAGGAAAATCATGAAATAATAAATAAAAATAAAATTTAGGGCAAAACCGGCAGAACCAAACTCTAAAATAAAAGTGGTTCCTCTCCGTATGGAGTCCATGTTATCTTATTCACAATCATAAGTTAAAATAAAAAGCAGAACCTAGAAAATTTCCCATAAATGAAGTCGAAAAAGTTGAGTAATTTTGCAATATAAGACAAAATCAAAGTTGCGTCTCCAACTCTCACATGATTAAGTGCTTAATATCTTTTGACTTGAATATTAAAATTGTTTTTGTTCCAATTTGATGGCAGTTCTGTCGGCTGTTGGAGGAATCAAAGAAGCCACATCTGCAATGACACAAGGTATTGATACAAAATATTATTTGTGTGTGGTATATAAAACGGAATGAGGATCCTCCTCAGATTCTCAGATCTTTTAATTATGTTTGTTCATTATACATTATATAGCTAGAAATTATTTTAAATTTTGTTATTTAAAATTGAACACAAACAATACTTAACGAAGATTGATAACACGATATATAATGAACTGATAAAATTAAAGGATCCTTGGATCCTCACAAAGACGATCTGGAGAGGATCCTCATTCTATAAAATAGATAGTGAAAAGATAATTTGAGTAATTTAAATTTAAATGTTTTTGGTTAAATAGTTTTAATTTAATCTGTGTGCACAGGTCGGGTTGTTTTGATATCAGTAGTCATCTTGATTGCCCTATTCATGGTTCAAAGATTTGGAACTGATAAAGTAGGCTACATTTTTGCACCAATTATTTGCATTTGGTTTACCATGATTGGTGGAATTGGCGTCTACAACTTCATCGAGTTTGATCCGACGGTGGTCAAGGCTCTAAATCCACAATACATAGTAGATTACTTCAGGAGGAACAAAAAAGACGCTTGGATTTCTCTTGGTGGCATTGTCTTAGCCATAACAGGTTTACAATTAATTTCATGCAAAGTAACATAAAAAATTAATTTCTAAATAAGACCATATAAAGGATTTGGAAAGAGTTTAAAAATTCAATGGTATTCATTCAAGATTTTAAATGAATTTATAAAAATTCAACGTTATTCAATTAGCATTTTTAAAGAGGTTCTACAAGTTCATACTTCATAGATTAAATCCTGGTGTAATCAAGATTTTGAAAGAATTTATAGAAGTATCATGATTTGATTTTAAAGAATTTTCAAAAGGTATTTTGATGGGCTTAGAGGGTTTTCATAATGTATTTTAGACTTTTAACAAATCCAGTCTCTCACCTGTAGATTTTAAAAGAATTCACAAGTAATCTGCATAAGCCCATTAAAACTCCATGAATTTATAATTCTTTTAAAATTCTATAGAATTCCTATGTACACCCCTAAACTATTTATTAGTTAAATGTTAATTTCTTTCAAAAATAGATAATACATAATGTATTTTTACCATACAAATTTCATAATCGGAACTATTTAATGTCTCAATCTTCAATCGCAGGAACTGAAGCTTTATTTGCTGACGTGGGACACTTCACAGTACAATCCATTCAAATAAGTATGTGCACAATTACTTATCCAGCTATCATATTGGCATACACTGGACAAGCCTCTTTTCTTCGCAAGCACCATCTTCTTGTTGCAGATACCTTCTTCAAGTCCATACCAAGTAAGTATATCTTTACTAATTAATAAAACACTCATTGTCAATCAAAACCCTATGAAATTATCAGTTTAACCTTTTACGAGCTAACTATCAAATATGTATACCTCAATATTAACAACCATATATAATAACTAACTTAGGTGGTTGCATAATTTTTTAATTGTGTACTAATTGTGCTGAATGCATGCAGAGCCTTTGTATTGGCCTATGTTTGTAGTGGCTGTAATGGCAGCGATCATAGCTAGTCAAGCTATGATTTCAGGGACTTTCTCTATAATCCAACAATCACTATCATTAGGGTGTTTCCCTCGTGTGAAAATCGTGCACACATCAACCAAGTATGCCGGACAAGTTTATATTCCGGAAGTGAACTACCTTCTCATGTTAGCTTGTGTTGGAGTCACTTTAGGGTTTCGAAGCACTGCAAAGATCGGAAATGCATATGGTAATGTTCTCTTTACAAACTTAATTATGTCATCAAACAAATGCTTATGTTGCCAAAATCTGAGTCACCGTCTTACATTAAAAAATAGTCGAATTAATGTATGATCCACATTCAGTCTGACAGGAAAATATTTATGTGCACATTAAACTAAAAATGAATGACTTTGTCTAATTGTCATACGTATATATATGTACAGGTGTAGCAGTGGTGTTTGTAACGACGCTTACATCATCCTTCCTAGTGCTAATCATGATCATGATATGGAAGACCAACATATTCCTCGTCATCTCATATGTTCTTGTTATTGGAAGTGTAGAGCTTCTGTATCTAAGTTCAGTGCTCTACAAACTTGACCAGGGCGGATATCTTCCCCTCGCGTTTGCTACATTGTTGATGTTTATAATGTTTGTGTGGAATGATGTGCATCGAAGAAAGTACTATTACGAGCTTGAACACAAAATTTCTCCCGAACAACTCAAGGAAATTGCTGTTGATGCAAACTTTTCTCGTATGCCTGGCCTCGCCATGTTCTATTCGGAACTTGTTCAAGGCATTCCGCCAATCTTCAATCATTACGCTGCTAATGTGCCTGCATTGCACTCCGTCCTTGTTTTTGTCTCAATCAAATCGTTGCCTATAAGCAAGGTTCCATTGGAAGAGCGCTTTCTTTTTCGGCAAGTAGAGGCTAAGGATCTGAATGTGTTCCGATGCGTTGCTAGATATGGGTACACCGATGTTCGCAATGAGAACGAACCCTTCGAAGGATTGTTGGTGGAGAAGTTGAAAGAGTTCATAAAGGATAATTTTTGGATATCTCAAACAAATATTATGCACAGTAGCGTTTATGGGGATACCAAGTTGGAGATCGAGGAAGAATTCGAAGACAGTACTTTGGCTAACGGTGGAGAGAAAGGAAAGGAGGATTTGAAGCAGCAAGTTGATGATCATGATAAGCAACAAGATTTGTTGGACAGAGAGATTGAGGCAATAGACAAAGCATGGAGGCGGGGAGTTGTTCATTTGATTGGGGAAAATGAAGTGACGGCTGCCAAAGGAGCTGGCATGGCATAGCGAAAAGAATTGTGATCGATTACGCTTACAATTTCTTGAAGAGGAATTTGAGGCAGAGTGACAAAGTGTTTGATATTCCTCACAAGCGGCTGTTGAAAGTGGGCATGACTTATGAACTTTAGAGCAAAAGAAAGTGGATACAAATTTTAGTACATGCTTGAGACAAGCTATTTAAGGTGATTAATTACTAGCTAGCTAGCTAGCTACATCAAATAAATAAATAAATCAAGAATTCTGGAATTAGGTTTGAGTTCTTACAAATTAAAAATGTTATCAGGTGACCGAGAGCTCTTCCGGCCACGAGGTAGACTACAATTGTAATATATACATACGCTTATATGCAATGCTCCATTGCTAATGTATTATGACACGTTGGTTTGTAAAGTAGCAATTGGTTGTTCATTCTATGAATTTTGTCTAAAAGTTTTTCTTCCTTTTTTTTATGGTCTACCCTCTTACATGTTCTTTTTCTAGTGCAATATATTACTGATTGTATTAGAATCCCGGTGATAGTTCAAATAATATTATTAATTCATGTGTTATATTATTGATTGAGAACATGTATATTTATACTTTATATTATTTATATACACCTAAAGACATGGATGGACTTAGTAATGGAGGATTTAAAAAGAAAATATAACGTGGTGGCTCATGAATTGGGAAAATATGGACTTAGCAATGGAGGATTTAATAGATGGAGGAGGAACCACTTTGATTATTTCTATTCTTTGAAATTGATTTGGAGAATGATAATTGATTCACTACAACAGTTTGGGTTTTTTACGACTTGAAATATGCAGCGTACAGTACTGGCATGCCTTAAATGATATTATTCACGACATTCGTAAAGTTCATGTTATAATACTTGCACATAATCTAGCATTCACGGCATCACTTTTGTGCAAGTCGTTAAATAAAAATATTTACGGCTTAAGCGTCGTGTGTCGTATTTGACAATTTACACGACACACTTTCCTTCTCTTTTGAGGCATCGCGTTATGTCGTAAAGTGAATTTTCTATATATTTGGGTCCATACCTTCACTACAAGAAAATATAGATTAGGTGACGAAATTGATTGTGACGCCTAAAAATTTGTCACATACTATAAGAATCCGTGAGGAATTATTCATTTGCGTCACACATATCTACTCTGATAGATATCTAACTTAAAAACAAGCTAGTGGCGAGTAGATTCATCACGTATTCTCGAAACACAGGACAAACAACATTTACGCACATAAACTTTTTAGATATTTTACAAAAAATGCATAGTGGGAAATTATAGCGCTAGAATGAAATATCAAACAAGTGAAATTCTAAACCATTCCACTTCACTTTCCCCTTTCTTTCTCTTTGCCTTTCAGATTGCTCATTTCTTTCACACCACCGTGACCCAAACAACAAACCCCTATCTCCATCACTCTGTCGCGGTTCATGGCCTCATCTCCACGTCGCTTGCTGCCCACCACTGAAAATTCAAGAACCTAGGAGATCCATTCCGCTAAACAAGCACATTACTCCTTGCATTAGCACAAAAACACCAAAAATAAGATATCTATATATCTGAATGCATACTACCTCTTCGTTAGAGCTCACTTCATCCGCCAAGCTGCAGGCATACGCATTAGAACCTGCATCTGAAAGAATTAAACAAACATCACTGTGTTGCTAAATAGAGCCTATGCCAGTTCAAGCCTAGTAGCCATTTTCGAAAAAACACGCACCTTTCAGCACTTCTAGACGTGACAAAATAGGTAATTCCTCATGTTTAGGAATAGAATTATGATTAATACACCCTCTCTTCCTGTAACTGACGTAGGAATAAAGAAACTGCTTGATGATGCGAACAATTTAGAAACGTTCTGAGTCGTTTATAGGGTCTTTCGTAATCAATGAGGATTTGTTGTTGCTTGTCTTTTCATTTTCTTGAAACAAGAATTTATAATCTGTTTGTTTGCTTTGTAATAGACAACTTCTGGAATTCCAGAGTTCTTTCAAGGGAGACCGTTTGTGATCCATTTTCTTACAACTTCTGCTATATCAGTTGGCATCGAGCCCGGTTTTCCAATTCAATGGCTGAAGACGAAGCAAGAACCAATATCATAAGTTTCACATACGTGAGTTGAGAGCTTGTGGCTATGGAGTGTCGCATCAATCATACAATGCAAAATTCCCTCGCTGAAATTAGAGAGATGATTGCAGGCCTGGCCGTAGGCGGCGCTCAACATGTTGTTCGTGCTCGCGAACTGGTTGTAGCACCCTAGCAAGTCAGAGATTTCCCTAACGGTGATTCAGATTCTGAAGATGACGTTATCTCTGCCATCCCTGAAAATCCATGAGAAGAAAAAAAAAATTGAAATTTCCACTTTCAATGGAAACTTATCGATTGAAGAGTTTTTAGATTGGCTTGCGGAGTAAGAGAACTTCTTCGAATATGCGAGAAGTTAAAGTTATGGCATGGAGGCTAAAGGGAAGCGTTGCCGTTTGGTTGGATGAGCCTCAAGAGTCCAGGGTGTGGCAAGGAAAGAATCGTGTCCAAACTTGACGTAAAATGCAAAGCATGCTTCGGGCACGTTTCCTTCCTCGGAATTACAAGCAAGTGTTGTTTGAAAAATACCACGACTGTGTACAAGGAAGTCGAACTGTGCATGAGTATTCACAAGAGTTTTTCAACCTTGCTGCAAGAAATCGTCCCACTGAGTCCTTTGCATGACAAACTGTACGATATTTGTTTGGATTAAAACCTTCCATTCATGACAAAATTGGGTTACAACGTGTTAACTCCCCTTCAAACAGAAGAGTTGGCTATTAGCGCATAATTGCTGGAGAAAAATCGCAGCAACCAGATGGTTTTAGAAAGCAATGGGGAAAGTCATCTCAATCTTTCAGCAATTTCCCAAGAAATAAAGAAATGGTGCAGCAGCAACAGGTTTCCAAGGGTCCAGAAAAAAGGGTTGAAAATAAAGTTGATCATCTAGGAGTGAAAAATAGTCCTCGTAACACTACTCGTTTTCAAAACAACTAATTCCGCAAGCAAGCTAATCCGTATACCAAGCCTCGTAGAAACATGTGTTACAAATGTGGCAGCCATGGGCATCCCACAAGCACCTGCTGGGTTGGCAAGATAGTGAATTTAGTAAAAGGAGGTGAATATGAAGAAGTAGATGATGAATATGATGATGATGTGGCTGAGGAAGAAGGAGATGAGTTAGCATTAGTTTTACAGCGAGTGATTTATTCCAAACCCAGCGATGACAATCAACGTCATCAAATCTTTCGCTCTAAGTGCACTATTCGGGACAAAGTTTGTCAGTTGGTAATAGACGGAGGTAGTTGTGAAAACTTCGTTGCTAGAAAAGTCGTGGAGCACTTTCACCTTCAAACTGAGAAAAATTCACACCCATACTCGGCAGGGTGGATTAAGAAGGGCCCGACGGAAAAGGTGATTGAAACTTGTAAGGTTCCCATCTCAATTAGGAAGTTTTACAAGGAGGAAGTTGTGTGTGATGTAGTTGACATGGACGTGACTCATGTATTGCTCGGTAGTCCATGGCTATAGGATAGAGATGTCATGCACAAGGGTCGTGGCAATGTCTATAAGTTCACTTGGGAATAACATTGCATCACCATGTTCCCTAATGGAAAATCAACTAATGTTGTCATAAAAGTTGATAACCCGAATAAGTTCATCACCTTGATCACATCTGAGCGCGATGTTACATCCGAAGCAAAAAAGACCAAGGTAATTTGTGCTTTGGTCATGAAAAGCCTCTTAATGACACAAGACCGAAAGTTGCAGATTCCGAACAAGGTTCAAGCAATCCGACAAGACTTTGAGGATTTGGTGAGTGACGATATTCGAATGAGTTACCTCTCATGCAGAATATACAACATCAAATCGACTTCATTCCTAGGGCAAGCTTGCCAAATCTGCCACACTATAGGATGTGTCCGAAAGAGATTGAGATTCTACGGGAGAAAATTGATGAGTTGTTAAAAATGGGCTTCATTAGTTTAACCCTTGTATAGTGCCGGTTCTTCTTGTGCCCAAGAAAGACAAGACATGGAGAATGTGTGTTCATAGCCGAGCTCAACAAGATCACTATCAAATATCGTTTTCCCATTTCCCGTTTAGACGACATGTTGGACGAATTAGTTTATTCCATAATATTTTCTAAGATCGATTTACGAAGTAGGTATCATCAAATTCGAATCCGTCCAGAAGACGAATGGAAGACAACATTCAAGAGTAAAGATGGCTTATATGAATGGTTGGTGATGTTGTTCGGTCTGTTCAATGCTCATAACACATTTATGCGACTAATGAACCAGGTGTTTCGTCCATTTGTCGGATTATTTGTTGTTGTATACTTTGATGATATACTAATTTATAGCAAATCTGAGCACGACCATTTAGAGCATTTGAGACAAGTACTTCAAATATTTCAGGAAAACAAATTGTAAATTAACTTCAAGAAGTGCAGTTTCTTCACCGATCGACTACCCTTGGGTATGTCATAAGTTCGGATGGCATCCATGTAAACTAAAAGAAGGTGAGAGCCATTTGAGATTGGCTAGCTCCCAAAAATGTATCTGAATTGCGAAGCTTACATGGCCTTGCAACGTTTTATCGATGGTTTGTAAGGAACTTTAGCACCATTGTGGCGCCAATGACAGAATGTTTGAAGAATGGTAACTTTATTTGGGGTGATAAACAGGACATGAGCTTTGCTTTAATTAAAGAAAAGCTATGCTCTACTCCCGTCCTCAACTTACCCAACTTTGATAAGGTTTTTGAAGTTGAATACGATGCAAACGGAGTAGGTATTGAAGTTGTTTTATCTCAAGAAAAACATCCCATTACATTTTTCAGTGAGAGGCTTAGCGAAGTGAGGCAAAAATGGAGTACATATGCTCAAGAGTTTTATGCTGTCATTCGTGCTTTACTCTAATCGGAGCATTAACTCGTTCAAAATGAATTTGTCCTATACACCGACCATGGCACTGAAGTGGGTCAATAATCAGAAAAGTGTTAGACATGATGTATATGCGATGGGTGACTTATCTCCAAAAAATTTCTTTTGTCATCAAGCACCAATCCAGTACGCTTAATCGCGTAGCCGATCATTGAGCAGGAGAGCCCAATTATTGGTGACTTTGAGTCAGGAGGTTGTGGGTTTTGATTTCTTGAATGAGCTTTATGAGGGGGATGACGACTTTAAAGACATTTGGGCAAAGTGTCTCCGCTCCCATCCTCCTTCTGACTTTCACATTACCGATGTGTTTCTTTTCAAGGGGCATAACTTGTGCATTCCACGTTGTTCATGAAGGGAGAAGCTCATTAAAGACCTATATGATGGTGGTTTAAGCGGTCATCTTGGGTGTGATAAAACCATATTACTGGCCACAACTCAAAAATGATGTTGGTAACATAGTTAGCAAGTGCTTTGTTTGTCAATCCTTTAAAGGTCAGTCCCAAAACACGGGTTTGTACATGCCCTTACCTGTCCCTACTGATATTTGGCTGGATTTATCTATAGATTTCGTGTTGGGTCTACCTCGAACCCAGCGTGGAGTCGATTTTGTATTTGTGGTGGTTGACCGGTAAGACATCTGATGCATCTCACATTGCTCACTTGTTCTTTCGAGAGGTGGTGCGCCTTCATGTGGTTCCTCAGTCCATTACTTCTTATCAGGATTCTAAGTTTCTTAGTTACTTTTGGATGACTTTGTGGAAGATATTTGAAACAACATTGAATCGGAGTAACACTGCCCACCCTCAAACAGATGGACAAACTGAAGTGACCAATAAGACGTTGGGTAATATGATTCGTTGTGTATGTGGAGATAAACCCAAGCAATGTGATTTGGTGCTTGCTCAAGTCGAATTTGCTTACAATAGTGGTGTGCATACCGCAACCGACAAGTCATCATTTTCGATTGTCTATACTTTAAATCCCCATCATGTGGTGGATTTTATAAGGCTTCCTCATGGCCCATGAATAAATGTTGTAGCTGAACATATGGCTGAAAGAGTTCAAGCAGCCAAGAACGAAGTTGCCGAGAAACTTGCTCAAATGAATTCCAAAAACAAGGCTGCTGCTGATAAACATCGATGCTCAAAGATTGTGCACAAAATCAATGACAACGCCTATGTGGTGGATTTGCCGACATCAATGGGGATTTCTCGCTCTTTCAATGTTACTGATTTGCATCATTTCCATCTTGTTGATGTTCCGTTATATCTTGATCACTCGGGGACGAGTTCTTTTCAAGGAGAGAAGACTAACGTAGGAATAAAGAAACTGCTTGATGATGCGAACAGTTTAGAAACGTTCCGAGTCGTTTAGAGGGTATTTCCTAATCAATGAGGATTTATTGTTGCTTGTCTTTTCATTTTCTTGAAACAAGTGTTTATAATATGTTCTTTTGCTTTGTAATAGACAATAGCTTTTGAATCAATACAAAATTCAGAAACGAGAGTTTCTCTCACAAATTCTGGAATTCCAGAGTTTTTTCAAGGGAGACCATTCGTGATCCCTTTTCTTACAACTTCCGTTGTGTCAACAAGACAAGTTTACTATAAAAGCAAAACAAAAGTAACTATAATCATTTTTCTTTTGTATAGGACAATATTCTATTCTAAACAATTATGATTTGCAAAGAGGGGATTGGATTCGAATTCAGTGTAAAGAAGCTGGCACACTACCTTGGCGAATTGGTCTAACTCACATTGCAGGGTCAATACAACTAGAAAAGCAATTCACATAATTTTCTCTGTACCATCTCATATTTTCTTGGTATCCAAACACATTGTACCGATCCTTTGCCAATTACGACTACATAAACAATGCATATACATACAAATTAAATCAAGCACATTGAAGTTTAAAGCAAAATAAATATAAACATTAAAAAATAAATAAAAACCTTTTTCTTGGTGGAACCGTCAATGGCAGTGCAATTGGGAAAATCATTTTTTTTCCGATTCTTCCTCATCTGCCCAAATGAACAACCAAAGAACACTTCAATCCAAGAATCCCAATTCAGAAAAACACAGATAAAATGCGAGAATCGAATCGAGAGAGTTTACCAGAAATGCTCTGATCAAACTCTGGAATTGTCTGAAAACAACGCATAGCACGGTGGTGGAGCTTATAAATCTTCAGAAACAGAGGAAATTGTGGGTTCAAAGGAAGAGGTTCGTCGACAGTGGGTTTTGACGCCAAATTTGGTCCTCGATGCGTGTGTAAGCGACACGTGTCCTATCTATTTTTTTATCTCGGCCCACTACCATCGTCCTCGTAGAGTATGCACTAATTTTGAAACAAGCCGAAAATGTATCATTTTCGAATCTCTTCCACCAAATCACACGGATCAAGTGATTTAGGCTTTTGAAATTTGATCCAACGGTTAAAATTATTATAACTTTTAAAAGAAGCCTCTGTTTTTAGCGGTTTGATCAAATTTCAAGGGTTCGAATCACTTTATCAGAGGAAGGCTAAAAGTTTTACTTTGTTACTACAAGTAAATTCTGATGAAAAACTACTTGGTAATTGGAATTGCTAGTAAAAATTCATACTTGATGCAGATGACATCTCATTGAATCCTCTCAGCCCTACGCTGTTCGGAAATGAGCCGGTAGTTGAGCTTGAGAAAGATGTTTTTGGCATCAATGAGGTTGTGATGGAGAAACCAACGGCAACGGAACCACGGAAGAAGCAAAATTATGTATCTCAATCTGCAGTGGCTTTACGCTGTCGTGTCATGCCTCCTCCGTGCTTGAAGAATCCCATGAAAACATTGTTGGATACTATTCGTCTTGGTTTGAAAATGAGCAGCTGCACATTGTCATGCATGCACACTCACTGGCATTGACACATATCTGAGATCCTATCTGACAGGCTGTAGTCTTTGATTAATTTGAACGCTTTTTAGCTTGACAATGTTTCATCTTCTGTTGGTATATGCTAATTTCTCATGTAAAAATATATATGTACAGATTTCAAAAGCGTTGCAGCTTATACACGGGCGAGGAATAGCTCACTTAGATGTAAAACCTGATAATATATACGTGAAGAATGGTGTTTATAAGCTTGGTGACTTTGGATGTGCAACTCTACTTGACAACAGCCTGCCAATTGAAGAGGGTGATGCTCGATATATGCCGCAAGAAATCCTGAATGAGAAATATGATGATCTTGATAAGGCCGATATCTTCTCCTTGGGAGTTGCTGTTTATGAGCTTATTAGAGGTTCACCTTTGCCAGAATCAGGACCTCAAATTTTAAATCTCTGGGAGGGAAAGTTGCCACTCCTTCCTGGTCATTCGTTGCAATTTCAGAACTTACTCAAGGTAACATCACCTTTTCCTTTCCATTAGTGGTTGGACTTTGTTTTCTGTGGCTGTGAACTTGTGACTGTTTCACTTTTGCTATTTCTATTTGTTGCAATTAATTTTAATGCGAGAATCTTTGTTAAAGAAAATGGTATTCGTAGATGACTAATTTTCTAAGAAACCGGTTCCATTCTACACGTAGCATCCTATGATTCTTAGTTGGTTTGTGCTACTAAATGAACCCTGTGATAGCGTTGCTGATTGCATTACATTTTGATGAATCTCTCAGTTCATGTTGGATCCAAATCCAGTCTGGAGGCCGTCAGCGAAAGATTTGGTCGAAAATCCAATTTTTGACAAGGTGCGGCGAAATGTGTTAGTGTGTAAATTGTGATCTGATGTGGTAGTTGTATTTCTAGCTTATATTGCTAGGATGATTAGCTAAATTGGTTGTATGCTTTCTTATCTAAGTCTCATAGTTCTTAAGTAAGTGAGTGTACATGTGTCTTCATCTCATAGGGTGTAAGATGGATGGCTAGGATTACTTGGATGTAATTTTGAATACTGCCAAAAGTTTGGAAGTGTAACTGTTAAGTGTAGAGAGATGTTCCTCTCTCACTTTGTGAGCAATCAAACAGTGCGTGTGAAAAGAATTGCAGTGTCATATATTCTCTGCTCTCATTCTTTCTCTCTCTCTTTCACTCTAGTCATTGCAGCATATCCTCCATTGTTGTACTACATTTTCTTCTTATTCTAACATGGCCTCAGAGCCTTGTTGGGTCTGAATCTCTGGGCGTCGATTCTGTGAGAGATAGTGAGCAAGTGTTTGCAACACATCGTTGCAAAGAAAATAGTAGAGAGAGGTGTGATCTAAGTCTAACATGGCTGGATCTGGTGGAGGGGAGCTTCGAGCTCCGGTGTTCAACGGAGAAAATTTCGATTTCTGGCAGATTCGAATGAAAACAATCTTCCGATCTCACGAGTTATGGAATATTGTTGAGAACTCACTGAGGTGGAAACGAAGTTGCGGAGTGAAAATCTGGTCAAGGATGCAAGGGCTCTTGGAATCATTCAGGGAGCCGTATCAGATCAAATTTTTCCACGCATTGCAACCTTGGAAACTGCGAAAGAAGCTTGGGATATTCTGAAGCAAGAGTATGTAGGGGACAAACAGGTACGATCTGTGAAATTACAAGGTCTGCGTCGTGATTTTGAATATACCCGTATGAGTGAAAGTGAATCTCTAGCTGCATATTTAGCTAGGCTGTTTGATCTGATAAATCAGATGCGAAGCTATGGAGAAGATCTTAGTAATCAGAGAATTGTGCAAAAGTTATTGATCAGTTTACCCAAAACATATGATAGCATTGCTTCTGTTATAGAAAATACTAAAGATATTGATGTAATTGATACACAAGATGTGGTTGCCATATTGAAAGGGTTTGAACTAAGATTAATCAGACATGAAGAGAGTAGCACAGAACGTGCATTTGCTAGCTTAGATATCTCATCTAAGAATAGTAAATTTGGTAATCAACATACCAATACTGGTGGATCAAAATATCAGAAGAACTTCAAGTTCAAAGGGAAGCAGTGGACTAACAGGTTTACTCCAAGTGTAAGAAATGAAGCTAACAACACTGGAAGGGCATGCAAATACTGTGATAAACTTCACTATGGTGAATGTTGGCTAAAAGGGAAGATTAAATGTCACAAGTGTGGAAAACTTGGTCATATTGCTAGGATCTGCAATCAAAACAAAAATGCTCAGCAAAGGAATTTTGCAGACAAAGTGGGAGAGCAAAGGAATTTTACAAACAAGGTGGGAGAACCTGGAAATCTCTTCATGGTCAAGCAATCAACTGAAGTGAAAGCTGTGAGTGATGCCTGGTATATTGACAGTGTGTGCAGTAATCACATGACTTCCAGAGATGAGTTACTTGTGGAAATTGATAGAAGTATTAAGGCAAAAGTGCAAGTTGGCACAGGGGTTCTTGTTGATGTGAAAGGCAAAGGAACCTTGGTCATTGACACGGATAAAGGAAAAAGGTACATAAGAGAAGTTATGTTGGTACCTGGAATTGCAGAAAACCTTCTCAGTGTTGGGCAGATGACTGAACATGGGTATTTTCTGTTATTTGGTGATTATAAGGTGGATATTTTTTATGATAGAACTCTGACAAATTTAGTGGTTAGTGTGAAACAAAAGGGAAACAGATGCTTTCCACTTGTGTTCAAGTCAAACGATCATTTGGTACTGAAAACCAATGTGCATCAGAGTAGTACAATGTGGCATAAACGGTTTGGCCACCTGAATTTTAGAAGTTTGCAACAATTGCAGGAGCATGATATGGTTATTGGGTTACCTGAAATGCATGACAGTGAAGGTGTATGTCAGGGATGTGCATTTGGTAAGAATTATAGAGTGTCCTTTCTAAGGGAGTCAATCTGGAGAGCAAAAATGCCATTGGAACTTATACACTCAGATGTGTGTGGCCCTATGCAAACACCAACCATGAGTGGAAATCGATACTTTGTTACATTCATTGATGACCATTCGAGGATGTGCTGGATATATCTCTTGAGACACAAGTCAGATGTCTTTCATGTATTCAAGAAATTCAAAGCTATAGTGGAACTTCAAAGTGGTTTTTCAGTGAAGAAATTGAGAACAGATAGAGGAGGAGAATTTACCTCAAATGAATTTGAACAGTTTTGTGAAGCTTTGGGTTTGGAGAGGCAGCTTACTGTTGCACTCTCCACAATAGAATGGAGTTGCAGAGAGAAAAAATAGAACTATAGTGGAGATGGCAAAGTGTATGCTTCATGAGAAAGGTCTTCCTTATAGTCTTTGGGGTGAAGCTGTAGTTACATCTGTCTACTTGCTAAATAGATGTCCTACAAAAGCATTGGAAAATGTGACACCTTTTGAGAAATTCAGTGGAAGAAAACCTGGAATTCAACACTTGAGAGTGTTTGGCTCATTAGGTTATTCCCTTATTCCTAGAAACCTGAGACAGAAGCTGGATGAAACAAGTGTCATTGGTATTTTTATTGGATATGGCACTTGTGAAAAGGGGTACAGATTGCTTAATCCTGAAAATCAGAAAGTAATCATTTCAAGAGATGTTATTTTTATGAGAATGGTACATGGGATTGGAATAGACAGAAGATCAAAGAAGTGTACATTCCAATTGCTGAAAGTGAATCTTCAGAGATGAAAGAAGCTGATAAGGATTCGGATTCCATGGAACAAGCTGTTGCTGAAGGTTCTCAGACTCAACTTACAGATTCTCCACTCATTGAATCTGGAAGTGCTAGTGACTCAATTTCTGCATCTCAGATTGATCATACTCCTTTGAGATATAGAAGTTTGAGTGAAATCTATGAAAGATGTCATGTGTGTATTGTTGAACCAGAATCCTATTATGAAGCTGCACAGGATGAAGCATGGAAGAAAGCTATGAAAGATGAAATCAACATGATTGAGAAAAATAAGACTTGGGAATTAGTGAAAAGATCATCTGATAAACCTGTAATTGGTGTGAAATGGGTGTACAAAACTAAATTGAATTTGGATGGATCAGTTCAAAAGAACAAGGCTAGGCTTGTTGCAAAAGGCTATGCACAAAAGCCCGGAATTGATTATAATGAAACCTTAGCACCTGTGGCAAGGTTGGATACAATCAGAACATTAATTGCCCTGGCAGCAAAGAACAAATGGAAGTTGTTTCAATTGGATGTAAAATCGGCATTCTTGAATGGTGTACTAGAAGAAGAAGTGTATGTTGATCAGCCGGATGGATTTATTGTACAAGGGGAAGAAGATAAGGTCTACAGGTTACATAAAGCACTGTATGGT